CTATAGGATAAGCGCAGCACAGCAACAGATCGTTTGGCCCAAAAGTCAGCTGTATTTTAAATGTAAGAGGAGAGCATCCTTTAATTTAATCTATTTAATTTTAATTGAAATAGCCGTTTAAAATATTTCCGCTATCAAAGAGACTGCTGTTGTAGTTGTTCTGTGTGATGAAGAGAGTCTTTGTCGTGTAAAGCTGAACGCTTGATCAGTCATTCCCGTCGAGCAGGCGCTCACCGTGACAGCCGCAAAGATCAGAGCATCCAGATTCTCCGGGTGGGCCAGACTCGGTTTTGTTCTCTTTGTCGCGCAAAAAGCATCTGTCCATCATTTCATCCATCTATCTATATAATATGGGAGTTTGAAGAGTGATTGAAACAAAAAATATATATAAGTTAGAAATACCAGCAAGTGAAGTTTGCTGCATAGAAAGGCAGTCTTGAATGCTGCGATAAACTGGTGAGACTCGATTGAGGTTTATTTATTTACTTACTTACTTTATTTATATTTTCTATATGCATGAACCCAGCTTACAAGAAACGTTCTCAGAACTTTGGCTAACGTTCTGGCAAGGTTTTCTATGAACAGACGCTCTTCCAGTAGGCTAATGCTTATAGCACGTTCGTTCAGAGTTATCTGGTCTTTACTAATGATACCGAAACTTTATTAGCACAAACACTTTATTTACACATCGTTCTGAAACGTTTTATTTCTGTACAGATACATTAAAATAGTACGCTTAGAAATACCAGTTTACAATATCAAGCAGCATAACGAGGTAAAATAACTGGAAGCTGAGAATAATATGAACAACTCTGTTGACTTTCAACATCACTGCAGTTCTTATGAAATATAAATGTCGTCTAATAAAATCGTCCAGCTGTCAAGAGTGTAACTGAACTCATTTTGCTTTCAGATATAGAACGACTGAATCACCTGATAATGCTATCAGGAGCACTGAATATTATTCAGTTACCCACTATATTGAATCTTTCTGGAATGAGGACAAAGGTGACTATATATTAAAGGGGTCATATGATGCGATTTCAATTTTTCCTTTCTCTTTGGAGTGTTACAAGCTCTTGGTGCATAAAGATACGTTCAACAAATACGTTCATATAACGGCTGCCATTAATACAGCTTTGTGGAATGGTGCTTATATCATTTGCATAAAAAAGCAAAGTTTTCCCATAAAGAACAGTGAGATTATCTGAAGAAAAAATTGAGACTTCATGCTTTTTTTTTTTTTTTTACTCCAGACAAACTGTGCTCAGACCAGTGTTATTTTAGTATCAATGATGTTCTATTATCGTTTTTGTTCATATTTTTATATTTTCACCTTAATTTTAGTACTTTTTTATATTGTTTATATCACTTTTATTTATAAATTTTTACTTATTTTAGTAATTATCTTAGTTTTAATTATTTAAATTTTCATTTTGTTATTTTAGTAAGAAACGTTGCAAAGAAAATAAGTTTGTTTATATATATATATATATATATATATATATATGTAAAGTATGCCATTAATATGCCACTGGGAAATATATATATATATTATTATATATATATTATTTATTTTAATTTTTTTCAGTTAACGTTTATTTCAAGTAACTTTTTTTATGGTTTTAGTTTTAGTTAACAATAATAACCCTGACTCAAGACAGATGTAAACTCAAACCTTTCTAAACCAAATGAGCTGCTATCCACTTTCCTTTTATAACTCTACACTTTTACTGTGCATCAACTATTTCCTTGTGTTTTTATTTCTGCTAAGGAACTTTAGGAGAAACATCTGAGACAAAGTTGATGCTTCAATTAATCCTCCTGATGAGCAATAAACTTCTTCTCTGGGGAAGCCAGATTCTGTCTCTCAATTGTCAAAGTTGGTTTAAAGATTAATATTATACCAACTTTAACCTTCTCTGAAGCTCAATAGCCATAAAACAATAAAAATCCCTTCCCTCAACTGTAAGAATGAGTGTCCAGAGGTTTGATTCAGTCGGGCAAAACCAACAGGCTCACCTTCAGCAGAAAATCAATGTGCCATTACATATCACTGAATCAATATTTTGATGGACACACTATCAAGGCCAGCTGTGACAGAAAACTCAATGGGCTTTCATTATAGATCTCAGGGAAGCACAATGGTGTATGATTATATTCTACCGACAATCTCACCCATACTGACAGACAGCGAGTGAAGCACAAAACATGGCATAACTCAAGAGAGATCTTGCCAACACTTAGCGTGCACAGTTTCCCAAACTGCTCACACTAGATCCTTAGGTTTGCTTCGCTGACCGGAGCTCAATCACTAACTGGAGCATTAATTTGCTATGCCATTAATATGCCACTATTGCACTGTGATTTGATCAGAAACACCTGTGCCTCATGAAGCAGTCATCTACTTTCTCTATGCTCTACATGTTTCATATGTTAAAAGAAGATTATTGAATGTAATTTCTTTATTGTTTTATTTCTTGTGTTACTAAAAAGTTAAAGCGAAGTGACGTAAGATCACAGCTGTACAGACGCTTGACTGAATTTAAGTTTCTCATGTTGTTTTGATCTAAAGGCTTTCACTTAAATGCTTGAAATGAGTTTTGTAGACAGTTTATTTTTGTGCCTATGTATGAATTTCCATACAGAAAAAAAAACACTTTTTAAATGGATAAGTAGGACGAGATAGTCATATTGCAAAGGTTCATAAGGTTGATAAATGTCTGATCTGGATAAATGAGCAGATCTTGACAAAGAAGAGAGTCTGCATTTGTTTTACATTTTCTTGGTCACTACATATTTGACTTTATTTAATTTTAAAAGTAATAAAGACTATAAAATATAGTATATTAGGCTATATAATATAGTATTGTATGTTGGAAATCTGTTGACTGGGACAACAGTCAATTATACAGGTTAACAGTTATTATACAACTTATAAATGCACGTTTTTACTTCTCTCCCCCAAATAAAGTCAGTCAAGTTGATTAAAGATGCTCATATTCATCCCAATAGGACTCTGTAGTGACAGCCGTCAGTCTGGATGCATGGTGTTTGTTTACTAACTGCTGCTGCTTCACACTGAAGGATTTTTGCTTTGTTTTGTTTGTTTAATGTTTTCTTATTTGTATTGCTTTTTTGAGAAAAACAAATTGTCAGACATCACATAGATTCCATAATCATATTTAAACATGAAATCTTTGCTTCCATAAGCCAGTAAACTTTTTTTTCTTCTTTTTTTTTCTACTTTTGGAAATTAATTTTTTTCCACTTGTACTCGTAATGTTTGGACTGTACGGTGGCCACACATTGACATAATTTTTACTTACATACAATAATCATTACATTAAAAACAATCAGTATTTTACAGTATCATTTAATATATTATTTTGATATATCAAATATAAATTTTCACTGTAAATTACAGGGAAATTCATATTTTTCACAATTTAATTTTTACTAAACACAATATTTTTACTTTTTAACTTTAGGTTACAAAGTTAATATATTAACAAGTTTTTACTGTAATATTTTTACACCCTTTTACTCCAACAAAACTGTCCATTTTCTCCATTTATTCCCCCACTTGTACTCATTATGTTTTTACAGTAATATATAATGTATTACCTTGACATATCAAATAGTCATTTTCACATTAACAAGTACATTACAAGTACATTTATATATTTCATTAATTTTTTTTTAATTTTTTTAGAAAGCACAATATTTTATTTTAAAATGACATGTTTCTTTTACTGTACATTGGTAAGATTACTTACAGTTAAGGTTAACAGTTAACATTTTTACACCCTTTTAAATATCAAAATACAGAAGTTAATTTTCCCTTGCCATCTCTCTCTCTCTCTCTCTCTCTCTCTCTATATATATATATACAAAACAATATTTAAAAATTATTTTTTTACTGTAAGGTAAACAGATTTTTTTTTACTGTAGGCTTGTACCTTTTTAATATCTGAATAAAAAAACGTTATGATTATTGTTGATGATCATGGTTTGGACTTGTTTGGATGTATTTTTCACTTCTACTCATTAAGTTTCGTGCTGTCTAATGAATCACACACAAACTTCTCAGAAGTGCTGTTTTTTGTAAAAAAAATTAAAATTAGCACAAAATTATAGAGTGAACCTTTAAATCCTCATATACAGAAGATTTTTTTCTTTTAGAGACGCATCGAGCAGACAATCCCCAGAATGCAGTAGCGTCTCAATCAGCTGTACACTCAGGAGTCATCAGGTCCAATTGTGGGATTAAGCTCAGTTCTGGAGCTAATGGTCTGAAGATGG